AGGAGGGAAAGTAAAACCAGGGCCAGGATGTTTTGGTTCCATGTGCGAATTGGAGGAAGAATGTGGCTCATTTGGGCTTGTGTGATGGAGAATGAGCCACAGGCAAGCTCCCTCATCACCAGACCATAGTAGAGGGCAGGAAAACAGGCCGGCATGATGGCAGGCCCCAGAAGGGCAAGCTGGTTGCAACAATTTCCCAAGCTTCCTTTAAGGCTGCCGGCCCAGCCCTCAAACCGGGGCAAGGAATCACTGACACGCTGCTTGGAGTGTGCTGAGCGGTCCCAGACAGCTGTGGTCCCACCCTCTCCCGGTGGATCTGTGGCCAAACGGCATGGCCAACGTGGCAGGGGCTGCCAGACTACCTGCCGGTCCCCATCCATCCATCCTTAGCAGGCGACTTCCACCCGGGCCCTGAGAGGACTGCCTTGCCCCCAGAGGTTTCCGAATCACCATTCTTCTGTTCATTCTTGTATTCAACAACTATTTCCTGAGTGCCCGCCATGTGCCAGGCCCAGGGCTGGGGCTGGGGCTGGCCATTCAGTGGTTAACAGGGCATTGCCCCTGTGTTCACAAAGCTAACAGACCCTGTGGGGAAAAGCAATCGGATACTGAATACTCATTTAACTAAAATTATGGTAGCAGGAGGGGGCGGAGCCACACTGGGGGTTTGGGGATCAGAGGCTAGTAATATGAGCAGGAGGTAATAAGGTACCGAGTTGGGGCTGGGGGTCAAGAAGTGTCTTCACAAACTCCTCCACTCTCTTTGGCGTTTCTGCTTCTTCATGCCTCCTTCCAAACCTTAGCTCCTGACTCGGTGCACTTAGCATGCATTCAAAACTCTGTTTCTAGAAACTGCCTCTGGCATCACCCCAGTACCAGCAGGCTAGTCTGTCCCTCCCCAATTCCCTTTCGGGGGAGGCAGCTGCCCCGCCTAGGTCCTTCTTTCTCCAGTTCACTCATGTACTCACACATCATTGGTTCACAGGCCATGTCAGCTCAATCATGGGGGGCTTTCCCAGCACTGCTGGCCCCACAGAGAAGGCAGCACACTTTGTTCACATATTCTCTCCCTCAGAACTTCGTTTCTTCATTTCACTAATGTTCATTCAGCCAGGGCCCGGCCTTGATCTGGTCCCTAGATGAATACTAAAGGGGAGCCTGAAAGAGGGCCATAGAGGTGGGGGTCAGGGTAGGTTTCCTGAGAAGGTGACACCGGGGAGAGTCAGACTGAGGAGGAGTTTGTTAGGTGACATTGCCCCTCTTTCTACTTCTTCTACCTTTCTTGCTCTTTTCCATGCATTGTCCATTATCTACTGTTACCTGTCATGTATATTTCTGGGCTTCAGGCTCAAGCGATAGAGCTGGGAGGGCCCTTGGAGATCTAGTCTGACACCTGCCCATCTTACAGATGGGGACAGTGAGGTTCTAAGAGGGATTGATTGATTTGTAGATATTGAACCATCCTTTCATCCCTGAAATAAATTCCACTTTGACCATGGTGTATGATCCTTTAATTGTATTGTTGAATTTGGTTTGGTAATGTTTTGCTGAGGATTTTTGCCTCTATGTTCATTGGGGATATAAGCCTGTAATTTTATTTTCTTGTGGCATCCTTGTCTGGTTTTGGTATCAGGGTAATGCTGGCCTCAGAAAATGAGTTTGGAAGTATTTCCTCTTCTTCTACTTTAGAAGAGCTTGAGAAAGATTTGTATTAATTCTTCCTTAAATGTTTGGTAGAATTCACCAGTGAAGCCATCTGGTTCTGGACTTTTGTTTGTTGGGAGGTTTTTGATTACTAACTCAATCTCAATCTCCTTACTAGTAATTGGCCTCTTCAGATTTTCTGTTTCTTCATGATTCAGTATTCGTAGGTTGTACGTTTCTAGGAATTTATCCTTTTCTTCTAGATTGTCTAATTTTTTCGGCTTATGGTTATTCATAGTGGTCTCTTATGAGCCTTTGTATTTCTGTGGTATCAGTTGTAATGTCTCCTATTTCATTTCTTTTTTTTTTTTTTAAATATATTTTATTGATTTTTTACAGAGAGGAAGGGAGAGAGATAGAGTTAGAAACATCGATGAGAGAGAAACATCGATCAGCTGCCTCCTGCACACTCCCCACTGGAGATGTGCCCACAACCAAGGTACATGCCCTTGACCGGAATCGAACCCGGGACCCTTCAGTCCGCAGGCCGACGCTCTATCCACTGAGCCAAGCCGGCTATGAGCTCCTATTTCATTTCTGATTTTATTATTTAAGTCCTTTCTCTTTTTTTCTTGGTGAGTCTAGTTAAGGGTTTGCCAGTTTTGTTTATCTTTTTTTTTTTTAAAACAGCTCATTGTTTCTTTAATTTTTGCCTAGTATCTTTTAAGTCTCTATTTCATTAATTTCTGCTCTGATCTTTATTTCATTCCTTTTACTAACTTTGGGCTTAGTTTGTTCTTCTTCTGGTTCCTTGAGGTGTAAAGTGAGGTGTTTACTTGAAATTTTTCTTGTTTCTTAATGTAAGCATTTATCACTCTGAACTTCCCTCTTAGAACTGCCTTGTTTTCTTATTGTTGAGTTTTTGGAGTTACTTCTATAATTTTGGCTAATAATTCTTAATCAGATATATATTTTACAAATATTTTCTCCCAGTCTGAGCTTGTCTTCTCATTCTCTTGATGGTTGGTGTATATTTTAATCCTGTCTTTGTTTTGTTTCTTATCACCTTAAGACATTATTAATGTTTTAGTCAGCCATTATTCCTTTAGATTCATTACTGACGTATACAGTACTCTGTTTGTTCTTATTTCCTGCCCTACTTCTCAGAACTTCCACCTTGACATCACTATTCTTCTGTTTGAAGTACATCATTTAGGATTTCCTTTAGAGAGGGTTTTCTAGTGGCAAAGTAATTCAGTTTTATGTTTATTTAAAACTGTCTTTAGTTTATTATCATGGAGAAATTTTTCACCGAACTGAATTGGCATTATTAATGGTAAAGGATGAAAGATTCAATAATTGATTGAAATACTGAAAACTGTAAGCACAAATAGCTATTATTAAATTATTGAATAAAATATGGTATATTCATATAATAAAAACATAAATTTAGGAGAAATGAACCATATATATTTATAATTTATGATTTCAAAAATAAAGTTGAGGAAAAAAACTGAAGAATATGATGCCAGTTATGTAAAATTAATTGTCAATGAAACAACATAAATATTGATTATTTATATCTGGAAACAGTATATGTAGCATTCATACAGTGACTAGAATGATATCCACCAAATTCATAACATGATGAGAATCCTCTGGCAATGGTGAGGAGGGGACAGGGAATGGGGAACAAAGGATATGATTACATTATCTGTAAAAAATTCTTTTCTTTATAGTGAAACCAACATTATGAAAATAGTACTAAGGAATAACACCCGAAAATTCTGGATGGTGGGCTAATGAGCATGAAAAAATGCTCAATAATAAATATCCATGCTGTGAAGCTGAGTGCATCCTAGTGAGCAGCTGTTCTTCCTATCTTTCTGAGGGGAAGTCAAGGGGAAGCCTAGACGGCCATGATTAAGAATACCCATTTGATTGATTGGTAAAGTGCAGGAGAATATGGCACTGTATATGCTTCTGTAACAAATCAATATCCTAGCTTCCTCCTTTCATTAAATATTGCTTTTACTAACTTTATGTTCTAATTTTAGAAATATCCCCCAAAGTCCAAGGCATCACACTTGTGTGTCATTTATTCACTTCTTCGATATGCATTTATCTTGATTGACCAGGTCCAGGGAAAGGTGTTAGAAAAGCAAGAACGAAGTTGGATAAAGAAAATTGGCGATCAGACTTTATCCAAATATTCAAAGCTTATGTAAATAATATTACAATCACTTCACTGCTAGTCATAATTAAAGACAGGAATAAATGGAGATGGACATCAAGGTAAAAAGAAATCCATATCATAACTGCTAGGAGTCCTATGGACAGAAAGCTTTCGGCTGCCATCCCCTTTAGAAATGGTCTCAGCTGAAGAAAGCTGCCTTGACCAGGACCAGGGCCCCTCCCTGGTGTCTCACACCCAAGGACTGATGAATGAGGGCACTGGCCTATTTCAGCCTACCATGGGACAACTCTGGCCAGCCATGCTCACTCCAGAGCTCCCAACGAGGTGGCCTGGAGCTGTTACTGGACCTGTAGCACCTCAACTTCTCCCTCTGACCCCTGCTGTTTACTTTGCTTCTCTTTCGCAAGGCTCTTCTTAATAAATACTGTGCATGCAAAAACAAAAAATGCTGATCAGAAGCTCCTCAGATAACATTAGGGAAATATACAGACCTAGTCATAACTACAAAAAGGAAAAACAACAACAACCTGGAATGAAGAGAAAGGAGAGATGCATGGAGGAGGTGTTGGGGAAAAAAGATAAATTTGGGAGGAAAAATTGAGATGAGTTTGAGGCAACAGTAGGGGTGAAACAAGAATGGATTTGGCTGAAGGTGAGAGAGAGGTGAAAAAAGCAGCTCATGCAACAGAGACAAGGAACCTAAAAATCTATGCTTAGCTCTCTGTGGCTCTTTGCTAAAGGACCTTACAAGAATCTGCTTTTTAAAAATGTCCTTGCCTGCTACGGATCAAGGCATTTTACTAAAAAACTAACAAAACCAACAAAAACCGCAGCTGCCCACTGTCTACGAATGAAGATGCTCCATCTCTGAGTAGTGGTAAGAGCTCACAGCGAGTCTTGGTAGATCACTAGCACCAGAGGCCGGTAGCAAGGAATTGGGGGGCAGTTCATCCCTGGAACAGGCCTCTCCCGGCCTTGGGCGCAGGACCCAGAGGGCGCTGGGGGCCAGCGCGGGGACCTGGACTGGGAGTCGGAGGTAGAGGCTGGAGGTAGAGATGGGGAAGGGCTCCAGAAAGTGGAAGTCGGGGTTGAAGTAGGGACCAGGGGACTAGCCGTGGGGGCCCGAGGCCACGGCTCTGATGGGACCTTGCGGAGGTGCCTAACACATTCTAGCGGAGGGGCGGAACCCCGCGACCGAGCCGACTGCAGCGACCATCCAGGGAGTCAGGAACCCGGGGGCGGCGTCCTCGTCCTGGTGGTGGGCCTCTTCTGGGACGGCGATCTGTGGGGCAAATGCGCAGAAGAATCCCTGCTGGATGGCGACGCCTCCCGCGGGAGCGCCCAGGAGAGCGCCGGGTTCCAGGCCGACGACGGGCGGGTGCGCCCCCGCTCCCGGGCCCAAGAGCGCCTCGGGGACCAGCACGAGGGTGTGCCCGCCCAGAGACACTTGCAGGACCGACGTGGGCTCGGGCTGCAGCACCAGGTCGACGCCGCCGTCCAGAGGCAGCTGCAGGGCACAGCCTGCAGCCACGACCAGCACGGAGGTGAGCGCGTCGGCGGCCGGGGGTCCCGCCGGGCCTTGCAGGCTGGGCGCCAACCCGTCTTCAGGGCCCGCGGGTTCCTCAATTCGGCGGCGCTTGGCGGGGCCGGGTCCCCCGGACTGGGGTCCCCACCAGGGCGCAGCATGGAAGCTGGGGCTGGGGAGGCGGCTGCGTATCATCCTAATGGCGCTGCGGGCGGTGCTGCGGGGGCCTGGCAGAGGGCGAGTGTCACTCAGCGTCGGCGACAGGAGAGGCGGGCGGGGCGGGCTGGGTGAAGAGCTGCGCGTCGCGGGGGAGTCCTGGGATCTCGGGGGGTGCTCCCGGGAGGCCCGCAGCCCCAGATTCTAGGAGAGCTTCGGGGCTTAGGTCTTGCCCTCCAGCGCACTGAGTGACAAAGTGGGATGTCAGGTGACCTGCGTCTCACTATAAGCCCCGCCTCCTGGCACTTGAAACAACACATTAAAAATGGAAGGTACCTTTTTTTTTTTCTATATCTGCTCAAGGACCTTCCAATCTCAGAAAATAATAGTTCCATCCTTTTTGTGCTCAGGCCCCAAACTCTTAATTTATCCTCGACTCTCACACCTTTCACAAGAAATCCTGTTTTCTCTATCTTCAAAATATATTCAACTACATGCAGCTTCATATCTCTCCTTTTGCTACTACTTTAATGTAAGGCAGCATTCTTTATTGGGTGAATTATTGCACTCCATGAGGTAGTGGTTTCTAAATGTTTTGTTCTTGCCTGTATTGTTGGAGTTTGGAAAAGTGCCTGGTACGTAGTAGGCACTTAATACATGTTTGTTAAATATGGCAGCTTTAAAAAGGAGCTAATGATAAAGTACAGCATAGGGCAGTGGTTCTCAACCTTGACTGCACATTAGAATCACCTGGGAATCTTCTTTAAAATCCTGATTTCTGGGCCTCATCCTCCGGAAATTGTTTCTTGGTTATGGGGTGGGGCCACAACATTAGTAACAAAGAAACAGAATTTCCGGAGGATGAGGCCCAGAAATTAGGATTTTAAAAAGATTCCCAGGTGATTCTAATGTGCTGCCAAGGTTGAGAACCACTGGCATAGGGAATATAGTCAATAATATTGTAATAACTATGTTGGTGCCAGGTAGGTACTGGACTTATCAGGGTGATTGTAAGGTATATAAATATCTAATTGCTATATTGTACACCTGAACTAATAGGTCAGCTGTAACTAAAAAAGGGAACTAAAAAGGAACTAAAAAACACTTCTAGGGATTAAATATGGAAACATGGAAGCAAGAAATTCAACGAATGGGTTAAACAAAAGTTTAGACAGAATTGAAACTGGAAATACTGAACTAGAAATAGTATGCATGAAGCTAAGAAGGTTAAAAACATATGAAATAAGAAAAGCAAACTAAAAGACATTATCAGAGAGAAAGCAGTTCTACTACATGACTGTTGGAGATGGAAAGGGAGAACACTGAGAATAGGGAAGTGGTATTACTCACAGAGATAATGAATAAGAATTCTTCAGATGTGATGATAGGGAAAAATCATTTGTTCATTCATTTAACAAATCCAACATATACTATTTAATTTTGTAAAATTTCCTTCTCCTCTGAGCTTCACCAATGAGGACTGAATAAACTAATTTTTAAGGACTCAATGTAATACAAGTAAGATAGAAAGTTTGAATACAAAAAGTTAACCTTATGATAAATTTTTACTATTATTATTTAACACCACAGCCTGATCTCTAACAAAAAACTGCAGTTTCACTTGGATATTTTAAAAGCTTTTTAATTAAAAAAAAAAAAAAAAGTCAAGAATCATTTGCATAAGGAGTGGTCAGAGATGGGGTAAAGGCTTTCCATAGCCTGCAGGAAAATCTTAGAGACTTTAGACATAGGCACTTGTAAAAGTAAGCAAGTGGTTTATGAGATTGTATTTTGGCTAATTTTGCCCTCACGAATAAATGCCATGGGGCCCCAATGAGCATCCAAGGAGCATTCCCCTACACTTTCCAGAAAACCTGCCCTGCCATTGCACTGTACCAAACCTGATGCTCTCTCCAGTCCTCATTGGTGAAGCTCAGAGGAGAGAAGGAAATTTTATGAAATTAAATAGTATGTCTTGGATTTGTTTAACTTTAAAACAGAGATCTTTGACTTTTATCTCTATGCTTATGGCAAAACATCTAGATGTGGAATTGCTGGGTAGCAGTGTGTGGCACCCTAACAGTAATAGATAAGGTCAAACTACTTTCTTAAATATTTACCCTGTATCTGTGTTCCCTTTGTACCACATCCTTGACAACACTTAGTATAGTTAGATTTGTAAGCATTTTCAATCTGATGGTGTAAATTGTATCCCATCATGTATTTATGTTGTATTTCTCTGATTACTCATGAGGTTTTCATATATGTATTGGCCATTCATGTAACATCTGTGTAATATGCCTTTTCATTGTGGTTGTCTTTTCCTTTTGTATATAACACTGTTCTCTTTGAATTTGGTGTTTGGTGGGTTTACAGTAATCTGTCTAAATGTACGTATTTAAATTGATCAGTCTTGAAAGTTGTGCTTCTTGAATGAAGATACTATAATATATTCCAGAACTATTGGTTGATGCTCAACCACTGAGCCACACCGGCCAGGTTTGATATTTTTTTCTTAGCTACATTTAGGTTGCCCTCTTTTATGTTCTCAAATTAAATTTATTTAAAAATATTTTATATCTGATAATTCATCAATTCTCCTTTTTCTTGTTTTGAATGTCTCTCACTTATTCTCACTTTATTTTGGTTTGTTTCCTTATATGTTTTTTTAAATTTGAATTATGAATTTATAATCAGTGGAAGATTATCACTGAGAAGATACTTAGCCTTGGGCAGAAGGTGTATTCTCCTTGGAGAAATTTTGTTCTGCTTTTGCCAGGCTCACCATCAACCAGAGACTATCTTAAACTAAGCTCTCAGCTCCCCTCATCACCCCCCCCCCCCAACAGATTTGGTTTCATTTTACCTGGAGTCAGAGCCCGGACAGATACATTTAAGTCCCATCTCCTTTTGTATTATGAGTTTTTTCCTTTGCTTGTTAGATTACCTATTGGAGGCATTATGTTTGGGAAGCCTGGGACTTTTTTCAGGGCTGTGTGACAACTAAATAGTATTTTCTCTCTCTCATAAATGGACCATTAAAACTAAAGCTCTAGGTTGCCACAGGATGTTAGGAACCCCTATGTGTCCTCTTGTTTCAGCACCTACTTTCCTCTCTGGATTTGTGGCATGTCATCATTTTTGGTGTTGGAGGACTTCTCTTACATTTACAAGCTAAGGTACACCTTTAAAAAATGTTAGAATAACATTTTATTCATCAGTTTCAAGAGTATTGTTCTTGAGGATTTTTTGACTATTTGGTTTACATATTGCTAAAAATGGATGTCCTTAGTGATTTCTAGTATAGATTATGAAGCTTTTGCAGTAGAAGACAGTTTTGCAAACAGGGCCATCTTCTCTCTTCAGAATAACCAGATAATTTGGCTGATTAATTGATGTGTTATGGGGAGAAGGAGGAAGGATTGTTGAGTGTGGTGGGAATTGTGGACAAGATGGTAGCACAGGGGAAATCCCTCCTACTGGAAGCAGAGATAGAAAATATTAAGTCATATTAAATATAGACATCTACTAGTACTTTCAGGGACCAGAAATAGAGTAGAAAATCCAGTCTCTGTTGGACAGCTGATATGGTGTATTTGTGGTACTGAGACTAATGGAATTTCTGCTCTTTTGAGAGGGCTGAAAATCGGCCTATTGTCAATCATCAGAGTTTGAAGAGACACTGACCACTATTTTATGGCAGTGCCTGTGGTTGATCAAAGAAAGAGGTTGAAAGTGGGAATGGTCACTGTATGATTGCTTGGGGATTAGACCTGTGAGTTTTCACAGAGACAAATTACAAGAGTCCTGCCTTAGTTCTGAGTTGTGGTCCACTTGGAAGTGGAAACTATAGAAATTATAACTGTGGAAGTGGAAGATGAATTCCCACTCAAAATGTGCCCACTCATAAAAATTACTGAGCACATGAGACATTCCAATGTAATTAAAAACAAATAATAGGTTTTACCTGTGAGGAAATGGAATTAATTGAGCTATTAATTCATGTTTTAAAAATTTCAGAACATAAAGGATGGAATACCACCCATGAAACAAAAATGGGAGTTTATAACACTAACCGGAGAAGTTTGAAACAAGATGAAGGAAGTAAAAATCTTGAAAAGAAAACAATATAGCCCTAACTGGTTTGGCTCAGTGGATAGAGCGTCAGCCTGCAGACTGAAGTGTCCCAGGTTCGATTCTGGTCAAGGGCACGTACCTTGGTTGTGGGCACATCCCCAGTAGGGGGTGTGCAAGAGGCAGCTGATCGATGTTTCTCTCTCACTCTCATCGATATTTCTAACTATCTCTCTCCCTTCCTCTCGGTAAAAAATAAATAAATAAAATATATTAAAAAAAGAAAACAATATAATCTTTGAAATGAAAACTTTCTTATAGAAATATAAACAGAATACTGGAAACAGCTAGTTGGGTTAAAGAATAAAGAAAACTGGAATTAAGGCACACATACATATGATAACAAAATGTTAAGAGTCGTGGGAGATTGAGCACTATATCTGATTGGATTTCCAGAGATGGGGATATGTGGGATATTCTAAGATATAGGGCCTAAGATTTTGTGGGATTTCAGTTAAGAGATAATTCCCCATATTGATAAATTCCACTCAGCCAAATTAAAATAGAATTTACCCCAGAGACATTACAATAAAACTCTAGAACACCAAAGGAAAAGAAACATTAAAAATATGCTAAAATTAATAGAATTAAATACAGAAGGAATAACAAACTGATTAGCAGAAGATTTCTTGCTTTCAAAAACAACAAAATGGCAGAACAATGGACTAACATCTTTAGTTAAACATCACGTTAGAATTAGTGAATATGCAATAAAACATAAGAGTAAGAGAGCTTACCACACAAAAACATGTTCAGGTTTACAAAACCAAGATAATTTATCATACATAGGACATAGTGGAAAGAACTATTAAAGGATAGTCTTCAACAAGAAGAAAATTGTGGCTAGACTTTAAGAGTGGAACATAAGAAGAAAGAGGCAGAGAAGAATTGGTAAAGTATGTGGT